TGTGCTCACCGGTCGCGGCAAGGCATCGAGAATTCCCGTGGCTAGTTATGTGGACGAAATCCGTCGACGTAGATTACATGCCACATTATTCTCCTCATAGCAATTCTGAGATGTATGGACCGGGTGCCCTGGCTGAGTATTGACCCAATTGGGGCTCTTATCATGCTTGTGCATATATCTCGAAAAAGCCTCAGGAAATAAATGTGCCGGCCACCAACGGAGAACACATCACATGACCGTGGTCCCGGATCGCCGGCCATCATTGCTTCCTCACTCCTCAATCGAACGAACAGACGAACGGACGAACGAAATAAGAATTGAGCAGCAATCATGCTTTTCGCATCCACGAGGGTAGGCCGCTATGCCCAGGATACCCGAGAATCAGTTTTTCGGCCGTATTCCTGATTGCATCTCTCTTCAGTACTTGAAGGTTTCCCTGCGGGCATATTGACGGCGCAATACCTGGAATGTATAACATACATCATCAGCCGTACATCCTATCAACAGCCAGACGATTATACGGCGTCCCGCTCTCTCCGAGAAGAAATAATCCGACCGTGACTGCTCATCTTCTCGAAGTTACTGGAGTCGAGCGGTACGGTGGAACCCATACCTAGAAATTGGAAATAACATCCTTGAATGACTAGCTACTGATCCCGTTATACCTGCTCAGTGTTCAGTCCTCTTTCAAGTCCCAGGGCTCTCATGTGCATAGTATTGCAATCTGGGACAGGACATTGTTGCTTTTCGTATTTGAGCACGCAAGTAGCATTGCAAACGTGGTTTTGCAGATGTTTTTCCATTGAAACTATGTAAGTACATGGCAACCACCTGAATCGGCATTGCGACAGGTTGATATACAAAGATGAATGTCATTCCGGTACGAAGTGATAGATAAAAACACCCAATACTAACATAATGATGAGCAGCTACCATTAGATATTCGAACAGACAGTGCAGTTAAACGTGATGTCATCCCGGAAGAGGGAGGCTACAGAGAGTGCTGGTCAGCTACCGCAAAGAAAAGGCCGACAGGAAGGACATACGTAGAACGATCAAGGCAGCGATGGCGCCAACTGCGATGATGTATGCGAAGCTGTACTTGATGATCTGGCATTGACATGTATTTAGGAATGAAGCAAAATAAGTACGAAGAGCGGACTCACGATCCATCGTCTCTGACGCTTCTGCTTCGTTGAGAAGAGAGGGGGGCGGATTTGCTTCGAGGGACGTAGCCAGACTGGTAAGGCAGGCTGTGATGAGAGACGCGACCTAAGTAGTAAACGAAACAGTACTCACAGAGCATAGTGGAATGCAGTCTATCGAAGTACGGGATGAGTACGGGAGGGGTCAAGATGACCAGGAGGATGTGTCCAAGGAGGAAGTCGGAGCTCCATAGAGACATCTCCACGATCTTGACAATGAATTCACGAGCCGGCTGTGACATCGCAGATGAACCCAGGCCACGGCCATACCACTTGCCCGTCCACCAAGCACGATTAGTTTCGTCATGCTTGAACTCTCGGGATAAGAAGACGGCTATTAAGATCTTCTGGATGGCACGCTGGATGGCAATGATACAAATAACACCGAGGACAGCGTGTGAGACATCCCAAAGTTCCAGGAACCACTACAGATGACAAGACCCCGTTAACAGAGGAAGAAGGCCAGTAAAAAGGTGAACACGTACGAAGAACTCGAAGAAGGCTACGTAGCCGATGAGACAAAGCAAGTGCGCCGTCGCCGCCATGACAGAGGCGAACTTCGCCCAGCCCTCAAGCATGGGCCCCATGAATAAGGAGATGAAGAACAAGCTCAAGAGGACAGCGGCATTCCAAACCACAGGGCCAATTGAGACGACACCAATACGAATGAGAGGGCTAGGATTGGGATTGCCATTGCGGTCAGGGAACGACTTAACGAACATGTATGCGATGACGAAGATGGTGGCGACGCAGATCGGCCAGATGACTTCAGCGAAGATGACAGATCTCCAGCTCGCTCGGGGTACGTCTCCGGAGAGTTTCTCAGAGGGGTGCCCCAGTTTCTTCTTCTTGTAACCCGTAATCATGGTACGTGATAGACGGCAGTATCCATACCAGCTGCTTGCCTTCGTCCGTGAATTTCCTCGACACATCCACCGAAGAAACTCTCTGTAGTCAATGACGAAGTCGGCGAAGGAGAACTGGTGGGGGTTAAACAGGAAAGGCGCGATACACAGCGAGAGAACGGAGAACCAGAAGTAGATGAGATGCGGGATCCAGAGTGCCAGAGAAGAGTACAGCAACAGCAACAGGTTCCGCATACCCATATATATACTTGGTCCCGCGAACCTGGAGTATAGGGTGGCAAAAGATATGCGCGTAGTCGCAAATCCACGACCAGTCGCAATGTATCGAGCGCCACCGTATGTCAAATTGCTGAGCACTGCTTGCGAATAGATCTGTGTGGAGAACACTTCGAAAAACGGCGAGAGAGACAAGAAATGTTTCCCAAGACGTATTAGGGCCGATCCGGTTCCGCGTTCCACCAGTTCTATTCAATCGACAGAGAATCAGTTTCGCGCTCGGTGGATCAAGAGGACGAACATACCTTGCAAGAACAGAGGCAAGAAAGCGATGAAGAACACCAAGAAGATGGATACTATGCAGCGCTTGATCCAGTCAAACACGGGTATGAGATTATAGCATCCAGGTTGCCCGCCAAGCACATTCCCATCCGAATCCACCTGGCAAATGGACAATTGCTTGTTCAGAGTGCCAATGAACAGTACTAGACAACGATATCAGTTCACGTTCGTAGACAGACGATACGGAAGGAATGTACATGTCACCATGAACACCTGGATAGAATAGATGACGAGAATGTTGTTGATGTGGAAACCAGGGTGACCGTAGTAGAACGTCAAGAAACGATCGAGCGGCAATTGGGTGCCCAGGTAGTAGTACTCTCGACTCAGCAGTTGCTCACCCATACCCGTACCGATCTTGGTCTGGAAATTGAGAATGGTCCCAAAACCGAGATCCCGACCTTTACCACACTGGTAGTACTCCGAATGCTTGATGCGTCCACCACGACCGAAAGCGTTCATACCAGCGAAGATATCCTCGTTCAAGTGCAGACCCTTCTGAGCCTTGGAGACACCTCCTCGAGTATTCATGAAGATCGCATTCAAGAAGTCAGGGTGGCCGTAATGCAGCTTCCCACCAATCCAAGCGAGAGCGCGGGCAGTCATGGTACCGAAAGTCTGTTCTTTGCCGGCAGCAATATCACCCAGCACACCGATATTTTCCGAGAAAATGTACTCCCGAGTACCTATGATAGCAACTGGGGATTTCTTGAACTCCTTGTGTCCCCACTGCGCATAGGGACTCTGCTGCGAGATGGAATATTCCTCGAATTCACCCAAGATATTCCGGATCTTGATACATTCCTCCAGGTAGTTGTCCTGGTTGGCATCGATAAGCTGGAGATATTCACCCCTATAGAAGATGATGGCATGGTTCTGGTTGTCTGATTTACCATCACCGAGGATAGGGTTACCGGGCAGCTCGACGCGGAACTTCGGCTTCCTCTTTCCAGTCTTTTCGTCGATCTCGGAATGGCCGTCTATCAGAGCAGAGTAGATCTTGGGTTCCGAGCCCTTCGGACCGACTTCTTCATCGAGGTACGCGATCTGCAAGTCAGGATATGCGCGCAACAAGAACTCCGCGTTCTCCATTTCCTCCTTGTTGAACTTTGAGTACCTCTGCATGGAGATGGCGAACTTGAACTTGCGCCTGGACATGCGCTCAAGCTCCCGCTCCAGGCGCTCAGTGTTGCCGGCGAACATCTGCACAATCTGCGGATTCTCAACGCGGTACAAGAGCTTGATCGCCTTCGCATAATTCATCATCCCAGACACCGTGCGGTAAAGGGTCTGAGCACGAAGTGATGCCCAGATACGCGTGCGGAGAGTGTACTCAGGCGCCGCGGTCTTGAATCCAATGCAGTAGAAGGGTAGATCATCTGCTTTGCTGCCCCGCTTCTCGTTTTGTGTTCCGAATGGACTGCTTGTGGTGTCACTGAAGCTCGACTCTTCTGCCAGGATCTTAGTGTCCTTAACGAAATTATCCCACTCCACCGGATGAAGCTGCTTCAAGTACTCCAGCAAAGTGACACGGGTATTCTGATCCTCTTCACGAATGATCTCCCTGAGACTCAACAGAATCTTCTCTGAGTAATGAGGGACCAGCACGGTAAAAGTGGGCATCGCGTCGACAGGCAGAGGGTCGGGAAGGGCAGTCGTCAAAGACGAAGCAAAGAAGGAGATACGCCGCTCCGCTTCACCTCCAGCAGGCAGGAACTTCCCGCTGTTGCCATCATTGTTGGTGAAGAAAGGAGGAGCGCGCAGAGTACGCTTGCCGTCTGGACCGTCAACCTGGTGATACAGAAGACGTTGAACGTGGTCGATAGAAAGTAGATGCTCGCGATACATGGAGATAATGATAGCGTTCCAGACTTGCGATACCAATACCTGATACAAGTCAGCACACGATCGACTCTAAGGAGTGTACATACGTACCTTTGGCTTATATTTGACCTCCATCTCACCGGTAGCAAGCAACTTGGCGTATATCCGCTTGGGCATCCGAGTGTAGACCTCTTGCCACGGAGTCCAGATAGACAGACCCAACGAGAAGCTCCGGAAGATACTGAACACCACGTTCCACATGATGTACCACATGTACGTGTCCAAGAAGAACAGGATGACGTCCATGACATACATGATCGCCAACGTGAAAGGAACCTGGTTCGTGCAGAGCGCGTTCCCAAAATACTTATCATTGCACCCCTGAACCTTGGTACGAGCCATGACAGCGATGGGACTGCTGAATGACTCCGTCAGGAAGAAATACGACTCCGTAAACTTGCACCCGAAGACAAGAACCCAGAGCAGGATTGACGCAGTACGAGCACCTCGCGGCAGTTCCGGATAGGATGCAGTGAACGTCTGAGAAGCCATGTACTTGCGGGACTTCCCAGCAACACGATCACCGAACATCCGACCCGAAGGGATAATACCGAAGGCGATAGTCGCTACGACAGATATACCGAACTGGACGACGCCCAGAATCAATGGTATCTGGTTTGGGGTCGGTAACCCGTCGACTTTCGCGATGTAGATTGTAGGACCTCCAGTAAGCGCCAGGACTATGCACAAGAAGAACAACCTGGTGGTCAAGTGCGAAGCGTTATTCCAAGTTGTGGGGATGTAAGTATACTCCGCCAAAGTGGCGAAGATCATGATTAACGTGGCGACTGCGCCGCCCAAGGCAGTCGCGGACCAAGTCATCGGGGCGGATGGGAATTGCTTGTCATGAGGAGCGTACACTCTCGGCGAGTTATATGCCGTGTAAAACCAGAATACCGCAATGTGGAGAATCCAGATGCGGTTGAAGTTGACCAAGAGATGTGCAGTAGACCGCTTTTCAAAGTAGGTCTTGAAGAACACGCGATTCCAATCTACACGCCCGAGCTTCATGAAACGCTGTGGTGCAGGAAGATCCACTAAACGGGACTGGAGAAGGATATATCAATACGACGAGGACTGTAAAGAGATCTGCAACTCACGTTGTTGTCCAGGACGATCCTTGCAATGCCTTCGGGGTACCAGAACAGCTGGTTGATATCGTCGTAACCAATGATCTGGTCATGGTCCTTCTCCTTCCGGACGAACTTTCCGTCCACGACCTCATAGCCTTGATCCCTCATGAATCGGTAAAGAGGCTTGATGATGGTTTCGAGATAGAGACCCTCGCGAACAGGCTCAACTCTGTTCTGACACTCTGAGCTACGGTAGTAGTCATCCGCGCACTTGAAGATGAAACACAAGCACTCCGGGACGAAGCGTACGTTTCCAGCCTCACCCCAACACAGCAGGTACAGGGCTACCTGACGCAGCCGATCGTACTGGCTCATATTATTCATAGCGTTCCGCCATCGGTTCAGCGCGCTATCGAGCGACTTCGTGCCGGCTGTTTTCGGTGCGCCCTTCCCTCCTATGCTCTTAAGCCGTTGCAGACCAGGATTCTGGGACTGTCCGACAGCATCGTCGAGGTTAAGTTGGGCAGCGAAGTACCACTTGCGATAGTTGGCATTTTGACCGCCAATGTAATCAGCGTGGAGGGTAAGGAGTGCTTGGTTAGGGGTCATCCGAGATGCCCGAGAGTCGAGTTGTTGCATAAGGAAGTCGAACTGCAGGACCCTTCAGATCCGCCGACCTACTGCAAAGTGCACGAGACACATACCATATTCCGCATAGAATCTCGCTGGAAACCAAACTTCTGTGTCAAGTCGAGGAAGATGTCCTCGATCTCTTCGGTGGACATGGGTATTTGACGGTCCGCCGTCCACGCGGGATACGGCTCATTGGCGCCAGCAGGCATCGGGTCATTGAAGGGGGATTGCGAAGGCATGCTCGCAAAGGAGTCGATCGAGGGGGCATATTTCTCTGATTCCGCATCACCCCGAACACGACCTGCATCAACAGTGGTTCATCAGTACAACAGCTCAAACTGGGATGTAGGATGCAATTGAAAACATATGATTCGTCTCATGAATGAAACCAGGCAATCCTTCTTGCCACCTTGAGGTGCACAGACTATGGCGATAGGAAACAAGGCTTACCATATGGATCGTATTGACCAGGCTGATCGTAGAAACCGTTATTATCTGCGAGGCGGGTGGTACTACCAGCGCGACTACCATAGCCATCGCCCAGCTCAGAATCAGTATCATAGTCACGTCGAGAGTCTTGAGAGCCCGAGAAAGGGTTATTGCGCAGGTTTGTAGGGAGCCCGTAACCGGGATGGTTGGCCATAGCGACGACAGCGACGGTCAAGTGTGTAGTTGAAGTTTAGTCGGTGACGGTAGACGTCTTAATCAAAGGAGTGGCAGCGCAGAACGAGATGTCATGCGCGAGGAAAGGACAGGAAGTAGCGTAGAGGCCAGACGCCAGCGAGCCCTCTATGGATAGGGCGAAATTACAGACGAAAGAGAGACGGCGACGGCTGTGATACTTGACTGTCGCTCGGCTGCTAGCGATGGAGCCGTGGGAATTGTTACCACGACCCCTTTTCCCATTTTACGGCTGTTCTAATATGTTTTTTTCTGCTTTCTCCAAGCAGCAAGCCCTGCCCTACTTCCTTGGTCAACGTAAAGCCCGCTTGATCCATGATGAAGCAGGACACCGCTATGAACCGCTTCAACGATACGTTGCACTCGTCTCGCTGCACTTGTGATGTTTTCTCGGAGATTTTCTTCTGTTTTCTGACATACTGGCACGTGACTGAGACGCGACACGCTTTCGCATTAACGAGCCTTCTGAACTTCCAAAAGCATGGGCCTACGACTCTGGGATCCCAAGGCCCGTGTTACTAGCGATGAGGCTGGTACTACCATCACAAAGTACGTTCTACCGCCCGCCTACAATCCTGGACCATATGAGCGGGATCCGGACGGCGACGAAGAGCACGGCCTGACTTACGCGCCTTCCCTGGCCTACTTCTGCGTGAAAGCCCTGATCGAAGTCGCGGATCAAGTACATCTTATTGGATCTGCGCGTCTCCGCTACCGTGCTCCCGAAGTCGAGGGCTCCTATGACCCCTTACGGGCCCTGCTACCCTCCTACGGGACCGACGCGTTCGACTTGTCCAAAGTCGATCCACGACTATGGGCAGTGCTCATACAGGTATACGAAAATCTCCCGGATGATATTCGCACCTACCGCCTCCCATTGGCAGACAAACACCTTCCTCTGCTCCAGTCCATCCCATCGACACTGGACTTTACCTTGATCACCCTGTTGGATTTATCACGCTGCCCGGAACTCACAGACAATACTATAGTAGAGCTGAAGGCTCTTCATTGCCTTGTTGCATTGGACGCCAGCATGACCGAGGTCAGCACGCATGGCATCCGGGGCTTGTCGAGGACGCTACAGTGCACAGTTGACCAAGAGACCGGCATGAAACGAAGAGGTGGTCCTTGGGGCTTGCGGATACTTCGACTTCGTCGATGCGAAAAGCTTAGCGATGCTATCTTCTCGTGTCTGGCGAGTTTCCCCCTGCTGAGCTTGGTAGGTGAGCACGTCCGATCTGGTGTCTAGACACTGGACAAACTTTCTACTTTAGACATCCGTGGAACTCGATGCAGTCCTGAGCCGAGCAAAACAGGCTGCTTCCAGCCCTGTCGTAACGAGAGGTTACGATCTGGTGCGCTACGTGAAAGCCTTGGGATACTCGAGGAAGATTGCAATGGTGCTCGGGCTTCCGAAAACCAACGGCTATTCTCGTCGACAAACACGTATATCCTAGAGATCTCGACACTGGAGCACGAGTCTAGGAGGAGGACTAGGGCTGGAATGCGGTCTGCCGCTCGGGGATCGAGAGTTTCGCATGCTCTTAGCCTGAGGCTTCGAGGTGGCGGAAACACTTCCTCAGCCGACGAGTTTGAACGGGCAGATACGACAAGGGAGGACTCTTCCCGTGCGATGCTGACCTCCGATGCAGGTCCCTGTCAAGAAGGGCCACTGACCCAAAATACAGCTCTACCGCGTCGCCCTCGTCATCACGTGGAACGTTCCATCGGTCGAGACATGACTGACAATCCTAGTGAGGTCGAAGACTGGGAACACGAGGAGATCGAACTTCATCCCTCTGAGTATGGCAATTTCGATGGTCAAACGCACTGCGAGGACCATGATAGTGCGGGTGAATACAGCGACTGTTATGATTGCGGAGACTACCCGAGCTTTTACGAGCATGAGGGTGGATATGATCCAAGGGCATACGACAGCGAGAGCGACTACGACAGGATCGCGGATGAAGAGGGTGCGGCTGAGCGACATAGTCAGTCAGCCCGATGGTTCTACGGCGTCGGTTCCTCGAGGAGACCGCCGGCTAGGCTCGAGGGACCCGACACGCTCCCCAAATATGTGGATGATCCTAATTATCTGCTCTATCGGTCACCGCCGCCCTGGAGCGTTTTGGGTGAGATCAAGCCTACTGACGGGTCGGCGGGGGCCGCGGAGAGAAGAAACGAAGAGGATCTCGTCGCTGTTAACCGGACCAACAAGAAAGCGAGACTCGCTGTGCACATGATGAAGGACATGATCAGCAAGAAAAAGGCCAAGCAGATAGTCGATGTGGGAGACTCCGGTGGCTCCAACCTGGCTCCCATCCAATCGAGGAATCCATTCCGGAAGGCACCCAAGATCGCGGATAACATTGCGCAAATGCGAAGTCCGGCTACCGTGATGGAGGGCAGGCCCTTGGAGATGTCCCCGAACCCCCTTGCCATAGAGCCAGCTTTACATGAGCTGGGTATGGAGGTTCAATCCACGGCTAGGGTTGCCTCACTTCCGGTCCTCAGGCCCGTCTCTGCTCACAAGGTTCCTGCCCTTCCTTCCCCACCTCCGACGCAGAAGAAACAACAAGGGCGGAAACCAGTCAAGGAGAAGACGCCACATCGGCCTCCTCAGAGGAAGAGAGGTGGGATGGGTATGTCGTCCGCAGGTGGTAAGGTTGATGGTCAAAAGCACAAGCAATTTGACTGGCAAGCCTGGGGTAAGCCGAGGGAAAGCACGTAGACCTTGGTTGGCTCTATCCATCTCAGTGGAAATCTAAATTATATCTTCCATATTATGTATATACGATACCTGTTATGTAATGCGATTGTGCTCAGACACCGGCATGCCGTGCTGACTTTGAGGCCTACCGTCAGGACGCGTCCGACACGTGAGGGAAGCGATCTGTCATGTGAGGGAGGAAGACGCGACTTTATCGGCGATACTGACACCACCGCATACCATCATAGTATTCCATTGTCAGAACGTCGACGATCGTACCTGCTCTCTATCATCTGCTATCTTATGTCTGCATGCACGCTCAGTCTGAAGCGTACGAAACTACACCCGCATAAAAGCTCGTGTCGGTCAATATCCACGCTACCTCGACCATACCGCTTTCACATAGGCACGAGCTGGGCTGGGAAGCCCCGGGATCCGCGAGTCAAACGCGTAAAATCATCCTTTCCGCCCGATAGCAGCATACTCAAATGGAAGGAAGAGGAGCTACGTCGTCTGCACAAAGCTACCTGGAGCAAGGACCCGGGGGAGGATTTTTTCTATGTCCAAGAGGTATCGTCCACCAAACTCTGATCCCGTTCCGGCTCCCCTCTCACCTTGCTAGGATGCAGATGAAGGAAGGATCGGTGGGTATGTCCTCATTTGACTATCAGAATCACTATTCATACGAACTCCGAAGGGAGTCTCGGTGGGTGTCGCTGACGGTGTAGGAGGCTGGGTCGACAGCGGGGTCGACCCATCTTTATTCTCACAAGCATTGATGTTTCACGCCCATCGATACTCTAAACATGCTTGGGCTGGGGAACCGGAGATCGATCCTACATTGGACTATGAGGAACGGGAACAGGTAGAGGGATGGGAGATGACACCACAAGAATGCCTGGAACTCTCATTTGATGCTGTACTACGGGAACGGAGCGTACTAGCTGGTGAGCCTAGTGAAAATGCATTTTGCAGGGGCCTAACTACGAGAAGGCTCCAGCACGGCATGCCTACTTAACCTCAATGCTTCATCGGGCGTCCTGCGGTCAGCAAAGTACGGCGTTTCTTTCGGATTGACGACACGGTCTGAAAATGCGTCTGCAGTCTAGGAGACAGTGGATTCTCGATAATCCGGTCATCGCAAGTGGTCTTTCGACAAGAGCCCCAAACACATTTCTTCAATTGCCCAAAGTAATCGCGCTCTCCCCCGCTTTACCTCCGACTCCACTGACGCCAGAGCTGCCTAGACAGTTGACAAAACTGCCTCGTAGCTCTCGCAGATTCTCCAACTCAGCCGTCGACTCGCCCAAAGATGCAGATCTGCACGAGACGCGCCTACGAGACGGAGACATCGTCGTCGTTTACGTGCGTGTCCCACCCTATCTTTGCAAGATTCATGCCTAACATCCGAAGTCCTATCTACGACTATGTTCCAGACTGACGGCTTATCAGACAACGTGTTTCCGTCCGAGCTGGTCTCGATATGCTCCCTCGTAGCGCGCCAGATGGGCGGGCGGAAAACCGAGGACGAACAGGCGCAGACAATGGCGAATCGTATCGTCGAGTATGCACGATTGTGTATGCACAACAAGCAGCGAGTCAGCCCGTTCGAAAGTTAGTAGCCGCAGCTGCCTTCTGTTTACTTATCTGATATCATATCCGGATACCCAGGAGCTGCTGCGAGGGAGGGGATGTATTTCCGCGGAGGAGTAAGTCGTGCCCTTCCGATGATGTCCTATTCTTACTCACCTTATCGCTGCAGAAAGTGGACGAGTGAGTTACAGCATATGGTGGGCCCGTTCATATCTGACCATCGTCGTGCAGTGTAACAGTCATTGTCGCGCTCGTCCGCGAGACCGCATAGCAAAAGCCGAAGCATCGGCACCGGCAGTCTCGCGACATGCACCGCGTCCAAGGTATACCACAGCGAGCCCTGGAGCCACCATAGACATTGTTTACCCGCTATTTATACTACTGTAATACATATTTATGCTGCGCCACCCAATACACCCGCAAACACACTTGACGTCCCATGCAAGCGACTGCACTATGAAAGCAAGAACGGACAACAACCGTCCGCATCAAACCCGCACACCAATTCTTAACCCGCTCGCGCACCTCACAGCCGCCTCTCAATAAAGCTCTCAATCACCCCCGCAGTCGTCAACGGGTACTCCTTCAACACCACCTCGTGCCCGCTCACGAACGTATTCGGCTGCACGAAGATCTTGCGCGGCTGCTTCTTCGCGAGCACCAGGTCGCGGATCGCGCCGGCCCACCCGGGCAGCGGGTCCGTGAGCGCGGTGTAGAACGCGCGCGCGCCGGCGCCGTCCGCGGTGCTCTTGCGCACCTGCAGGTCGATGAGGAGCTTGCCGACCGCCGCGCGGCCGTGCGTGAGCACTTTTTCGCGGTCGACCTACCGGTGGGGAGGGGGAATCAGAGGGCCGGTGAATAGGGGAGGAAGAGGGAGTACGTACCCGGATGTACAAGTTCTCGAGCCGCCCGTCGCCCCCGCGCACCTCCTCGAGGCGCGCGATGCCCTCGCGGATCAGGTGCTGCGTTATCCCGAGCCTGCCGCATTCCGCTCTGCTCAGCGGCCCGCAGAGAAGGGAAGATACGAAAAACGGGGCGTACCGCGCCTGCATATGCGCCTGCCCGTGCTTCCTCGCCTTCGGGTCGTAGTACTCGAGCGCGCGCAGGCCCGCGCGCGCCATGAGGAGGAAGGTGACGTACTGGACGTCTTCCTTCTCCCGCCGGTCGGTGTACTACGGGCATGCTAGTCAGAGCGCGGCACGCCGGGAGTAAGGTGGGTGACGCACGCCGAAGATCTCGAGGATCTCGTCGTTGCTCGCGACTGCGCGGTCGGCGATGAGCGTGCGTACGGCGCGCGCGGGACGGGCGTGACTCACGGTAGAGCGCGACTGTCTCCGCGCGGCACTCCTCCATGGACGAGGACACCTCGCCGAGGACCGAGTCGGGCGTCTGGCCGGGCTTGTACCACCCCTCACTGCTCGTCCCGTCAGCCGCGCCCTCCCCAGACAATCAAGTCAAATCACGACACACGTACATCGGCCTCCCCGTCAGCGGGTTGATCACCTGCCCCGCCTCGCCGTCAACGCTCGAGCCGAAACGCACGCACGGCGGCACGCACCTTGTCCGCGGCGAAGTTCCGCGCGCCGTCGGCCTCCTCCTTGAACAGCTTCCCGCTGCCGTGGCCGAGCAGCTCGTGGTTCGCGACCTGCAGCTCGAACGCGCGCGCGTCCCAGTCGTTGTAGAGCGCGGCGTCGGAGGGGTGGATGAACGTGAGCTCCTCGTCTGCGGGGTGCACACGTGGTTAGTCGTTGAGGAGGGGGAGGGGGTGGGGAGGCGTACTCGGTGCTTTGGCTGCGAGGACGTTCTGGGTATGTGGGTAGTGTGAGTGATAGGAGGGGGGAGAAGCGCGGGGACGTACGGCGAGGGAGACGTTCTTGAACCCGACGGATTCCCGGATTTCGTAGTAATTCTAGCAGAGCCGTTTCAGACTCGGCGGATGCACCGAGTACATATGCAGTGCACCTACCGGAATCTAAAGTGACCCATCGTGTCTGTATTCATTACCATACAGATACAACCCGCACTCACGTTAATCCCAGCCGGGATCCCTACAACCCCGGTATCGTCAGCTCCCTAAACCGTCGATAAACCAGCAAGCGCACTCACCTCCGGTAGCGAAATTCACCACCTCGAGCGCCGTAAAATCCGGCTTGCGGAAGACGTCGACCTCAAAGTCCTTGCCCCAGGGGAGGACCTTGATCAGCTCGCTCGCGCGGTCGACGAGGACCTCGTACTTTGCCGAGAGCTGCTTGTCCACGATCGCCGTGAACCCTGACAGACTTGTCAATGACACTCCCCGCGATCAGCAGCGCACTCACCCTCCCACTCCGCCCGGCCGCCGTACGGATCGACGTACGTCTCCACGAACCCGATATAGCTCTCGACGACCGGGCCCACGTCCCTTACCCACCACTCGCTCGCCTTCTTATGGGCCGACACGCTGCCCGTGCGGAAGCTCTCCGCGTACCCCTCGAGCATGCGCTCCTGATTTTCGTTCGCGGCGTATTTTTTGGCTTCGGTGAGCGCGGCGACGGCTTTTGCTAAAGGGCCGGCGAAGTCGCCGTAGGCGATGGTGAGCTGTGCGCCGGGGGCAGAGGGGAGCGCGAGCGGGTGGGTGGTCGAGGGCTGGGCGGAGGCGGAGGCGACGAGGAGGGTGAAGGAGGTGGCGGAGGATTTCTTGATGCTTGTTTCCAAGGGTTAGCGGGGACGATGTATGGATGGGGACGGGGGACGTACCGCGTGTTGAGGACGTCGACGCCGAGGGTCTCGGCGGCGGCCTGCACGGCGGCGACCTCGTCGTCGGTGACGGGCTGGCCGAGGTAGTAGTTGGAGACGTGGCCGAGGATGGGCTTGCCGACGGACAGGCTGGCCTCGGGGGCGGTGGCGTAGATGTGCTCTTTCAGCTGGTCCCATAGCCCGAGGGCGTTGGCCGAGTTTGCTGACGCGGAGACGGCCTGGGCAAACTTTTCTTGCGGGATGCGGGGGATGATCTTGGTAAAGCCAAAGGACTTGTAGTTGACGAGGTTGCTCAGGACCTGTGGCGGAGTGAGATCGGGCCCTGGATGTGGGAGAGACGCGTACCTGGCTGGTGTACTGCAGCAGATCCTCCCAGTCTCCGTCGCCGAGCCCAGCGTTGGCCTTGAGCGCGTCGAGGTCGGCGAGGTTGCCGTTGTTGTCGGAGAAGGCGAGGATGAGGAGGTCGTAGAGCGAGGTGGCGTGCGGTGTCCACTGCTCCTGGATGATGCGAGCACCGGCCCAGGATGCTTGAGCGATGTAGTGCGCATACTTCTTTTCCTTGTCGCTGGGAAAGAGTGAGCACGCGCGCTGAGCAGGACCAACGGACGGACCTGAGGAGGGAAAAGGACTTTGCGACGTTGAGCGAGCAGAGCGGGGCGGCGCGGTCCGCGAGGAAGCGTTCCGAGGCCATGTTCGACGAGTGTCTGCGGGCGATGGGGCGATGGACGCGCAGGCGGCGGGCGACGGCGTTCATTGAGCCTTTCTTAGGCCGACGCCTGTCACTGATAAGATAAGATCTGACGTAAGCAGCACCAGCCTGCAATTTCCCTGCACTCCCGCTCTGCCCGCCAGGATGCTCTCCGCAACTCGCTCCCGGCTGCCGTTGTGCAGGCGTGCGGCCTTTTCGATCCAGTACCAGGCGCGGTTTCCCAGGCGGTACGAGTCTTCCAAGTCCGGACCCAAACTCCCGGCCGCCTACGACAAAGACCTAGCCGACGACCACGACGGCCCCCTCTACACCAACTTTGCAGACAATGCCGTCTTCACATTCGGCGTCCTCCGCCGCTTCGTCAAGTTTACGCTCATAGGCTTTGCCTCCGTCGGCGTCCTCACCTGGACGGCCTTCGAGGGCGCACACCAGTACGTCGAAGCCGTCTGCCTCGCAAACGAGTCCGACCCCGACGTCAACAAATGGGGCTGGGACCGCGACGGCGGCGACACCTGGCGCTGGTCCGGCGGCGACGCGGGCGGCACCGACCCCCGCCTCGGCTTCAAAGGCAGGCACGCCGTCCGCAGCGCCTGGATGGCCCAGCACTGGGGCATCGGCAGCGCGGGCAGCGTCATCGGCTCCAAGGCCTTCTCCGCCCACCCCGGCGGCGGCCGCCTCAGCATCGTCGAGGCCCGCCTCGAGGTCGCCCAGGAGTTTCTCAGCCTCGCCTTGACGATCGCAAGGGAGCGCGCGGGGCGCGTGCACCCCGACACCCTCCCGACGCTCCTCGCGCGCCACGCCGGCATCCTCGAGCGCATGGGCACGCGCGACGCGCTCTTCGAGGCCCGCGCCGAGTTCGAGCAGGTCTGGGACGCCCTGGGCGGCAGCGGCGCCGACGCCGACGCCGCGCGCCTCGCGCTCAAGCTCGGCGACCTCAACAAGCGCCTCGGCGACACCGACGACGCGCTCGACTGGTGGGCGCGCGCGATCCAGCTCGCGGCACCGTCGCCATCTCCCCCGGAGCTCCCCCTGACCCCCACCGTGCCCGCGTCCCTCCCGCCGTCCCCGCTCGCGCAGCGCACCCTCGCGCAGACGCTCGTCTCCCTCTCCGCCTTCTACGCCACCTCCGGCCGGCTCGCCGACGCCCTCTCCCTCGAATCCGCCTCCCTCTCCCTGCTCAGCCCCTTCCTCTCCCCCGCCCCGCCATCCGACCCCGCCCCGCAGGCCCTGCACACCCTCTACCTGCAACACCGCACCGCCCTCCTCGCCATCCACCGCGCAGAGGTCGCCTACGCGCTGCGCGCCGCCCCGCCCGCCGCGTCCCTCGCGGCGGACCTGCAACGCGCCGCGCAGCTCGCGGAGCGCGTCGCGCTCGCGCTGACGGGCGCGCCGGCGGTGCACCCCGACGCGCCGCTCAGCGCGATCCCGCACCCGCCCGTCGCCGAGGGCGAGCGCGCGCTCGTGGGCGCGTACGCGCGCAGCCAGAGCATGTCCCGGCCGGCGCGCGCGCTCCTGCGGGACGCGCGCCGCGCCGCGGCGGAGGCGTGGAACCTCGCCGGGGTGCTGTACGAGGGCCAGGGCGCGGGTAAGGAGGGCGGGAAGAAGGGGTGGTTGGGTGGAGGGAGGGAGAGGGAGGAGAGTGCTAGGGATGTGGAGAGGGCGCTGGAGTGCTACGAGCGCGCGCTGGGGTGGGCGGGCGTGCACGCGGATCGGGTGGGGAATGTCGCGGAGCCGGCGGAGGCGATGTTGGAGGCGGAGTGGAGGGTGCTCTGGGGGAATTATGTGAGGGCGCGCGAGGTTGTCAGGAACGCGAAAGCGCAGGAGAAGGAGAAGGCCAAGTAACGTTGTTTTCCCGCCGCTGAGTGACAGAGCCAGCGGAGTCGATGCCTCTTCCCGCCTCGATCCCACCGCGTCATCCACACAACTGTTTGCATCAGCATAAATCTCGCGTTTGGTCTACATATCTCTACACTTTGTATATTCAGTGACTTGTAATTCAATCCCCTCTCGGTTGAGATGCCTACATCTCCCATGGACCTTCCTCTTTGCCCAACGCATCTAAATAATGCACCTCGGAGCACGCTCTTAGCCTCGCCGCCGCCTGCTCGGGCGTGAGATCGCGCTGCGCCTCCGCCATAAGCTCGAACCTATACATCAAGTAAGCAAAGTACCATCCACCTCAACACGCCAACACATACCCGACCAAGAACTTCTTCACCGTCGCGCTCCTTAGTAGGGGCGGGTCGAAATGCAGATGCAGCTGCGCGACGTTCTCCTCGTCGTCCTGCGCCTCCGCCTCGCTCTGCGGCGCGGCGGGCGGCGTGGGCCGCTGGTGGATGCCCATCGAGTACGCGAAGGAGCACGCGAAGAGGTTGTCGTACCGCTTCGTCAGGCGCGCGAGCGCGTCCGCGAAGGACGCCTTCTCCGCCGGCGTGAGGTGCGCGAGGCTCGGGACGTGGCGGTGGTGCGGGAGGACTGCGAACACACTCCATGGTCAGCGAATGGGGGGGGGGGGGGGGA